GTAGCGCCCCTTCTCTTGCCCACTCTCCGTTCGACAGCAAAATACTCGTAAAAATTTGGATAGGAGCTGAATGCGCAGGGGCCGCAGTGGTGGTATGTTTTGATAGGGGTAGTGCCAAGACCCTCTCTTTGGTACTGCCACTGGTACTGCCATTCCATCCATCCCGATGAGATGATCCCTGAAGGGTGAAATCGTTTACGGTTGCCACCCATAAGCATTATTAAAGAATTATGCGCAGCTACTTCTTCGGGTTGTAATTTGTCTCGGAGTGATTAGCGATAATCAATCCTACTGAGGCACGCCCGCACTGAATATTAAATTCAAGATCATTTCATAGCGCTACCCGCGTAGACGATTATCTAAATACAAAGGTCAACTGATCTGTTTCACGGTTTCTACCCGCCCACATGAATCCGGTACCATATTAGGGACCGATGGAAGCAGCAACCTAGATTGTGAACATTAAATGCGGCGCTTCTCCAGTTAAAGCCCTGTTTTCATCAATCAAAATTAATGACAGAAATATAATGGACAGCTTTTCGTTATCTGTTAGGGTAGTGCAACAAGATATACTACATGGGCGCCGGCAAGAGGACCCGCGTCGTGACTGCGTGATCACTTGTTTCAGAGGTCCGTATTGCATACGCATGGGGCTTTACGCACAGCGACGCCATATATGCACGCTTTCGACATAGCCTTCGCCATGTCACCGCCAATCGGATCTCCTAATCCGCACCCCAGACATCCTGTAATCCTCTCCCTCTCTCGAAAATTCTTTTAAATCAAAATACCTAGTGAAGATCCGGCTCTCCTCATGCACATCCATTTCGGTAGCCTTGAAATCATTGAGCTCCTTACGAATGAGTGCCTAAAATCTCTCATATCAGGAATATATCAAAATCAGATTTGGCAGCCTTACCTTATCCGTAGACGTCAATCTCGTCCACGGCTTATCAGCTTTCCTATCGTAAGCTTGTGCCTGTGTAACTTCAACATAATCATTGAACTGTATAATCTGCTGCTCTTTCAACTGTGCAATTGTCGGCCGAAAACTCAGCTGAAACACATCATCTGTTGGTGAGTATTCCAGTTTTAGCGATAATTCGATTTTCAGAAATAACCTTTCTCAACAAAAGCTTCCTCTTCTCTTCCATCGATCGTACAGCAGCTGTTTTCAAGATATTTCGATCTTCAAGCTCTTCAACAGTGGGACGTTCGCTCAACTTACTGAAAACAGATTCTGAGATAGATGCCTTTCAAAAAATGAGAAGATTCCCGGCTGGCTAGATCTGTTTCAGATCTGCTTTGACACTTCCTTTACAATATCTTTAAACTAAGCACTGCTGCTTATCTACTATAAGCCGATTAAATGTAACGATACCGGGCAAGTTTGATCGAGGCATTGTGCATCAGAGTTCGTCGATCATCTGCTGTTTGGCCACTGATGTCGTCCCTACATGGCGGTGCATCAAGTCGCAAGGCCAACGTATCTTTACGGAAAACCTTCGCAGCAAGACCTCCTGCAATAATCAACTGATACGCTGTATGCAGATGGCTCAAGAAGGAAAAGGCTCGTTGGACGTCGTTTACGGTTCTTTTAGAGTTTATATCTGAGCGCGCTCCGGCCATGGATTTGAGATATAACTACTTGCAGGCTCTTGTTCTTGAAACGTTCAGCACCATCGATTTAGGCTTTATTTTGGAGTTGAACTGCGGGTGCTTCCCACATGAATTCGCTATTATACTACCTAGTCAGTCCAAAAACCGTGACAATGATTGTGCTTTTATCAACATAAGGGTGAGTGAGGGGGATGAGACTGAGACGGGCGAATTAGCAGCTTTTTCACCACTGTTGCAAAGCTCAGAACGGCTTGATTGCGTGGAAAAGGAGCGCTGCTGGCTTCATACTTCGGCAATCCAGCACCCCCCCCCTCCCTCAACATGCCTTTTATTTTGCTGCAGTTGCAGGGAATGATTGTAGTGTTTGGAGAATGCATTTGTCGTTGTATAGCTATACAGGTTATGGGGGATAAAAAGACAGCACGCTCATGGAGTGCACCTCTGAAACTTTTTCCTTGAGGGACTGGAGTAGTAGCGTCGCTTTTCTGACATGTATAGTCGATAACGCTGTGTCAGTCGGGCGGGGGGGGAGTGTCAGGAGAGGCGGAATGAGCCCGCTTCCAGCTGCCTTTCACTGCCAGTGTGGATCGGTTGGTGATCGTTCAAGGAAAACGACAACCAGTGGAGGAAAGACCGCGGGTGGGCTCATACTATGCTTAATGAACTGATTGAGACTATATCAGCTGTTTTATGGACACTTGTCTCGACCCACTTACTCTTAGAACCAATCGTTCGCCGTGGGTGGGTCTCAGCGTGCTTGGCTGAGAACTTGACTAATACCGTAGAGCCATAAAAAATAATTTACGGACCACAAAGCTGGACGGATGGTGTTCTACCAGCAGTGACACTTTTTGACAGCCTGCACGCAAGTGACTACGTAGAAATTGGACAGCTGCCTAGCTGGCTGTGAGTGGGGCATGGCCTGGGGGGGGGGAGGGATCGGGGGGGAGAAGGGAAGTCTGGGAGGCGCTCACTGCTAGACGTCGTTGGTGGAGTGAATACATAAGGGCCAACGCCGCTCGCGCCCTGCTTTCCCCATGAGTTGACAGTAACTTCCGGCCTCGAGCCATTGTGCGCCTTGTGCTCAAGCTTGAAGCGATGACGGATGGCTTCAATTGTCGTGATCGTGGAGGCTGAGGAGCGCGAGCATAATCGCTCACTCACGAGAGGAAGACCTTAGGGTGTTTCACCGCAGTCCTGCCATGTACCTTGTCATCCTGAACGACGCGAACTATGATGGTCTGCTTCGTGAACAAAAAGGCCTCTTTCTTTGGATCTCTGTGTGACTAATATGTATTGATTGAAAAATGTGGTTCGTGCGCATGTGGGTGACGCTTCCTTTCCCAAAAATCGGTAAGGGTGGATTAGACTAAGAAAGGTCTATGGGAACTCACAAGTTCAAGTGAAATTCTGGAAAAGCAAAAAAAAATTCACCCATGGGAATATCCTCCTCCTCCTCTTCATCGAAACGTGACGTACTGGGAGCGCTCCGATAGTGAGTATCATCATCTCTGTATTCGATCGGGTTGTCGCTATCACTGTCATCAGTCAGGTGTGTTGGTAAATCAACTCTGAAGGAAATGTAGAAAAAACGAAAATAAACCATTACGTGGATATCAATAATCTACAGTTACAATCAGCCTCCATGTGCCCCACTTCCAAACCCAGCCCAGCACCAAATTCAAATTGATGGTAAAACGTTAGAGTGAACCGCAGCTCACAAAAAGTACGATGTGCGTTCTCACATTTCAGAAATTCTATACCAAAGGACATTTCCTACACTTTTTTCTTGGAAACACTGCACATGGCAGCGTTCACCATAGTAAGCTGGGCCCTCGGGGGGATCGGCGATTCGGCAAAATAACGACACATAGAATTACGGCTATTAATCAGCCATGAGATGAAAGAATGAGGATAAGGGCATCCGGAGAACAAAGCAATGTTGGATTTGGGGGTGATCAACTGGATGGAGGGGGTAAGTGAAAAGTGGTGTTGCTGAACACGCGCTTTTCAATTCACCCTCTCTACCCAGGACGGAGGACAAAACTTGGATAGAGCCCTGTCCTGGCCACCTGAGCCTTCCGCACTTACGAATCGTCTACGGCATTGAAACACTGCCGTTTTTTATAAGGGCATTCGCTAGTTAATTGCATGGAAAGGAAGCAAGTGTCGCTACTAATTTGTATGAAAACGGCATGCGTGGCGCATCCCGAAATCCCCAAAAGGAATCGATCCACATAATCACTTTCCTCCCTTTAGGGAAGGGAACTAAGTGTTTCCTGATGCTGTGCAGTGTGCACCGCGAGGAAATCCGAGCATGTACTGGCGTTGTGGAGAATATTTCGGAATCGACTTCTCCCATTTCCTCTCTTCCGATAAGACCCTTCCCCCCTTCTCCCAATCCTATCCTATCTGGTATCCTACCAAATTTCCTGGAAATTTCGCTAGCGAACGAGTGAAAGACGGATTGAGGGTCACTCTTGATCAAGTAATACCTTCGCGGAGCCACCAGCTGAACTGGATGAAGTACATAACGCGCCCGAAACAGGAATAATCAACAACCATGAAAAAGTTTTCGCAAATGAAATAGGATCCTTTCTTCCGCGCCCCAATCCCCTCCAGCGACCAAATGCGACTCTCCGTAGGGGGTTCCCCAAAGTTCCACATACATGCCTCGAGCTTCTGTAGTGGAGGTTGCACATCTCATTCAGCTCAACGGACTCGATTAAAGGCACGTTCCGCGATAAACTAAGGCTAGGTTCTCATAACCGTCGTGCACGATGGTCAAGCAGGCAACGTCAGAGGCTATGCTGCTTTTAAAAGTTGAAAAACAGCAAGCAAAACGCAGGGCGCTCAGGTTTTAGGCCCATTGGCGCCCGATAGGCCCATGCCGGCCTCCAGTGACCGTGTCGTTGTGAGACTGCCATTGCGCTCTTTCTGGCCTCTCTCGTCTCTTATCAGTGCACCAGTCGGATCG